CGAAATTGATGGCATAATGCATGGCTGTCATGTCATCTAGTCGACGGCAGGAGATAGTTACCATTCGAAGAAATGGATAAAATAAAATTACTGCGTAAGGTATATGGCGATTGTGAAACCTAGAATCTTTCAAGACTGACAATCTAACAGACCTGTTAATATTAACGACGCTGTCAATTTGATTGTCAGGGTGAACCTGCAGTGGCGGGGGGAGATTCATCAATATCGTCCAGTTACAGCGACACTATGCAACTCGCCTCTTCGCTATTCCTTTATTCCTCACGATTGCTTAGACACCGAAGGCGCGATACTAAATACGTTTACAATTCGATGAAGGCACGATTTTTAGTGGTTACTGCACAGATGTCTTTGCTATCCACAGGCTTTCAAAGATTAGGTGAAAAGTTTCTTTACTTGTGAGTATTGAATTACAGTCTACGTACTTTTGGCAATCTATTTGAAATTGACACCCGTGTTTAGAATTACCGTGGTACGTTTGTTTTAGCAAATATGTTATTGTATCTCTAAAATAAAAGTCGTGGCGTGTGAAAAAGACAACTACATTTGAATTTGTAATGCGTGCTGGCTGCAAGTAAAATGTAAAATGCAAGTAAATATGGTTAAGCCGAGCGTAATACAGGGGTAAATTCTCTATCCTTTTGGTGATGTTTTGACATTTTAATCGTATCATCGCTCTTGTCGATGTTTTCTTTTCAACGATACATCATATAACTGGTGAAATCCCACAGTCCTTTCATTTATGCACTTTACAACGCCTCTGTCATGATACGATTAGTGTTAGTGCATGTATATTCATTATTCGGTTGTTTCAAATAAGGTCGCGGACAAAGTGGACGATGCAACTCTGGTTAAAACTGTGTTGAAACGCAGAGACATCCTTTCGTCGTGCATGCCTATTCTTTTCTTTTGTCGTTTCGAGGGGATAGTCAATCCACGGAGTATTCAAGAAACAATTTTTGAAATTTGAATATATTCCAATAGCTATACATTTTCTGCGCATTTTGGAAAAGTATTCATTCTTGTATCTAATAAACATACTACAGATACTGTTGCAGAGACGAACGAAAATGACTTTGTTACGTGTTTGACAGTCCAGACTGATGCATCAGTAGGTAGGTCCCACTTGGCCGCAGGTGGCGCTAGCTTCGCGCTTCGCATAACTTCTAATACAGAGATGTAGAAATGTAGAATAACTAAATCCTCCAATGTCTCAACCATTAAGCGTACATGCATTCCAGTAGTCACGACGAGTTATTCCCTCAGTGACATCAGCATCGTAAAATACGACACGCACGTTTTGAAAACCTTAAAATTGAAACGCGTTTATTAATGGAGATTAACTTGATTTACGAGATATTTTCAAGTATCTATTTCACGTGCACAGGCTGTGTCTGAAATAGTTGGTTTGAAAGCTAGAAAATGGCAATGCAACGTGTCAGTACAGCGTAACATGGAGTTAATATCTTTGATGTTACTTTTGACACCTGTCAGTTTTGACACCGGTCCTCCTTACCCTGCCCTTATAAACTTTGGCCAGCTATTTCAGAAAGATCATATGCACGTATTAGTACGTACCATTCCAAAATTCTGTATATTCATGTCATACAAGCCACCCGCAGACAGCGAACACGGTATGCCAGACCTGATTTGCATCATTAATAGCTCTTTTTGTATTCTCACCGGTGTCCGATACCATTCAGAATCGTAGCTGTTATAATTCGCAAAACGTTATATTCGACTCGATTGTTGGCGTAATCGTTAGGAATTATTGGATTCTTATTTCTTGCCATCGAAAACATACATATTCTGTGCTAATTGTAAACTGTGATCCGCGAGCCTTTGACCAGGCAGGCTGTTGAAGAGCAGGTGAAACTGTTGCGCCACGAGGAAAAGGCTAATTCTGAGTGCTTCTGCTTTTCGATTCAAGTTCATGACAGTCTGATATATAAAAGTCTTAATGAAACGCTGTGCTACGCCATGGAGGCAGAGCTTGTTGTACCAAATTTTCGTACACTTCTCATTATTAGTAATATTGTTCTTACTTGAACAGCTGTGACGCTGATACCGATCATGTTCATCCCTAGTTGTAATAAAAAACTGCTTCGATTCATATCGTCGATGAGTTCGGAAAAGCTTGAAACATACAGAGAAAATTTATTAATGGAAATCATTAATTGGTTCGTTATACTATTTTTCTAATTTATTAGTAATTAATGAGTACAAACTGGAGTGCTCTCTTATGACTCATCACGCACTTCTTTAACTGTTGATACATGGCCCTCTTCTCGACGATGTTATGAATATTTTCAGCGGTACTGTTTGTAGCTTGTTTGATCTGGTTCCTGCGTTGATTACAAGTGCTCAAGTAAAGGCAAATTACGTAAATAATGTCAGTGATTTCTGTTGCGTGCAGTTTCGGGCATTCTTAGAACATTTTATAAGTGATCAGCTACATGCAATGTTTAATGTATTACGTTTATAAGTACCCGCATATCGCGAATAATCCACAGGCATGGTGACTTAGGACCATGTAGAGGGAATCTACAGTTACAATAATTATAACGAGTGTAACCGAAGTCCAAACCGAGTGAAAATATATAGGAAAGAAATACTCGTCACCGTTTACCAAGTACTCAATTCTAAACACTTGCTGTCTTAATCGAGTCTCATTCAATACTAGAATGACATCGAGGAATATAGGCATCATCGGTAGCAGGGCGAACAATACTAAGGCCGTTAATAAAGTGCCTGGAAAAACATTAATGATTTTCTTGGATTAAATTTTATTAGTCTACACAAACCTTAAGACAGGATCACTTCCTTTTCTGCATAGTAACCGAAAGGTTCTTCATAATTTTGTTCCATACTTGTACGTAATCAAAAATTATAATAGTGCACCTACTTCTGTACAGTTGAGCAACCTTACTTCCTTGCCCAGAAATGTCATCTAACACATGAATTTTATCCGTCTGTCTCAATGACTGCCACTCCTCAACCACAAGTTCGTATATTGTTCGAAACTGCAATATTGGTCTTCGTAATTTTGTTCGTTATGTCAGATTCCTTTATTAAATAGGATGACTACATATATACTTGTTCTCTGTTGGCGTTAAGGTTTACTATCTTTATCACAGCTACCAGTACCGTGACTACGATCGGTACACATTCTAGAACCCTATCCATGTCTTTATCACGGAACGAAGTAGTGATTGCTATAATCTGTTAAACAGAACGTTCGTATTTCAATACGACATTGTTCGACACTTAACTCACCGATTCGTATAATTTTGTGAGAATAGTACATGGTAGGTAGATTCATAGTCTGGCAACGTGCATAATGAAATACTGTTTCACTTACAGTTGGCACCAACAAGCTTATCGAACTAATTAAAAGAATCGTGAGAATAGTCTTGCGGCTAAGATTTGATTGTTGCGGATGTTGTCCTACGAGTATCAAGTACTTCGTGAGTGTACTGTAATACGGGATTTCCCCAGATATAAAATTCAAGTCGTCGTTCTTCTGAAACACTAATAAAGTGTGACGAACCTATGTATGGTCGATGAAAACTGTAGTAGACATCAGAGATACAGTATAGTTTGAAATACAGTTCGCGACGATCACGGTTCCCAAACTTTACCGGATACAAGTATAAACACTTATCTGTTCGTGGCCAGAGTACAATTTTACGATATTCACAAAAATACAATAAGTCTCACCTTTTGAAGACATATTCATAAAATTAACTGTCTCCCTATTTTTGTCGATCGTTTCAACGGTTCGATATTATACGAGCAGATTTACTGCCTTTGGAATGCACCAAACATATAAACGAGACTGTCAGAGTTGTTTTCTGTTTCGTGTTCATGCGAGTAGTGTTCAGTTCCT